ATAACCAGATCCAATGGACCTAACATAAGATGAATTTATGTTCATTTTACCAACCAGCATTCTCATCAATCATATATATTTGGGGGGGGAATGTAAACATTATTGCCTAAAGTACTTTATATACATCTGATAGCTGATCGTAAGAAAGGACTTTAACAATCTACAAAGGTAAAGCTGATAAAAGGGTACCATATTTTGGTTTATTTTATTTAGCCTTAAATTATATATTAATATTTTAATGTAAACTCAGTAACAGCTGGCATAATCAATATTTAACACAAGTAGTCTCATCTCTTCCAGGAAAAAAGAAAAAAAGCTGAGCTTTAGATCATTTCTATTTCATTAGGAAGTTTTCTGATACTTTATGGGAATATTTTAATAGACCCCAGGAGTTTTGAAATACTGTTTCCCCTTGAAATATTTTTCATTTCATGAAAATAATACATTCTCCTGGAAATGAATTTTTTCAAAAGTTTCCTGAAAGCCTATTTTTAGGAAATGAACTTTTTAAAATCCAGTGTCTTTAAAATAACAAAAATATGTCAGAACACGAATTTGAAATAAATCACGGCATATAGTGCCAATGGGTATATATGGATGTGTGCACATCTCTTACATATGCATATGTTTAAGAGAATGGATATATATGTATATACATACATATACATATATACATACATATATACACGAATATGTAGGTAGCACACCTACATTTTAATACACACACATACCCACTTTGTTGGGTCTAAACATGCACTAGCAAGTTATTTTAGGGCTTCAACTCTTCAGAAAATCTCATTATGTGAGGAGCGAAGTGGCTCTGCGGGGAGCATTATGGAAATATCTGGGCTTGATTTAATGAGGCTGTTCACATTGGTGGAATATCAACTTAACAGAGAAAAGTCTACCCAGGGCGTCCGAGTTACCAAAATGAAAATTGGCAATTGAGATGATAAGAACGTGGCTTTCTTCTGCGAAATCACTTCAGGTAACAGAGATAACATTAAGTAACATACATTCTATGCACCAAGAACAATGTTTTATGTACCGAGTCTCTTATCCGTCTCTCCTAATGACTTCCCTTAGCGGGTTGTTAGTACTTGACAGCAGGTCTCCGTGCGGGGAACTTTTCTCCAATTCCACATTCAAAGGAGGTCCATCAGAGAGCATGATTGGCAATTTTCGTCATAATCTGCACATTATTAGCATCAAAATTGACGTGGCAGTTAACACTGGTGGGTTTTGATGTGCCTTTCTTCAAGTTCAAGGAAACCAGTAGCCGGGGTTGGCAGAATGGGTCTCAACAACCCAGCCGTGGCTTTGCAGAGGCGAAAGCGCAATAGACATGCGTGAGAAATATGCCAAGAACCATTTTACCCAGGGAAAGGGAAAGCGAGGAGGGAAGGGGGTGAGGGCAATCGAGTTCGAACTTAGAAAAGTGTCTAAGGACAGGCTTCAGGATAATATCACATATCTAGAGATTCAAGTATTTCCCAGGTGGAGAGGAACCCGGTAGTTGGAAAACTGAGCTGGAAACGCTTCTTCAAATACGACAACGATCTGTCAGTCTTGCCCTCCCCTTCCCTTCGTTTCCCTTTCCATTCCTGGCCAGGCTGTGGCACCCTCATTTGCCATTACTTTTGGCATAAAATATGCAAGACGCCTCCATCCCACACCAAAGATCAAAAGAGAGAACGGTGGCGGGCCCAGAGTGGAGGCGAGACCGCCACTCCGGCCTGCCTCGGCTTTGCCCTTCGCGGGGAAGACCGCCACAGCCCCACCCGCCTCGCTCCCGCGCGCGGCAAACCGTCTCGCAAACACCCCGGCGGCCGCCCGCGCTCTCCATCCGCCCTCCTGGCCTTCGCAGACCACCATTCTTCCGCTCTCCGTGGACAGGGCCCCTAACAAGCTCAGGCTGAGAGAAAAATTGCCACCTCCCCTCACCCTCGTTTAAAGAAAAGAAAGGATGGAAGAAAAAGAGCAGCAGCAGGAACCTCGGGGGTGACTCCCCCCCCGCCCCCCCCCCCCGACACAAAGCACTAGCGCACACCATTCCCCTCTCTTTGTTGTGGTTCTCCGTGGCTTCTGGCCACGTGGTTCAGGAGAGGAATCTGGGCCTGAGGGCCGACAGCCGGGGCCCCATACCCCCGAGGACTAGCTTGAGGGCAAGGGGATTGTCTGCGGGAAGACCCAGAGCTCGGGACAGAGGCGGGAAACGGGGCATGGGCGGTGGGAAACACGAGGAAGCTGCTGGGTAGCAAATACAAAAATAGAAATAATTTGAGGGTACACGGGCCGGGTTTTGGCGCGGCTCTTTTCCCCCAGTTCGGTCGGGGCAGCTTCCCTTCGGCCTCCCGCACCGGGGCGCCCCCTGGCGGCAGCTTTAGCAGCGGGCAGAGCGCAGAGGGCACGCGGGCGCACGGAGGGCGCCGGGGGCGCTCAGGGGACTCCCGGGCACACTCAGAGTGGCGGGCACAGCCCCCTGGCGGCGGCGACGTAGTTATCTGGTGAGCGGCGCCTCGTCCCTCTGGTCCGGCGGGCTCACGGCGGTCTTGCTAAGCACAGCCGCTGAGTAGGGCAGGAAGCCGCTCTCGGAGCGAGGCGCCGCGGCGCTGCAGCCGAAGTCCGAGCCCCCCGCGGCCCCCGCGCCGCCGCCGCCGCCGCCCCCGCCGCCCCCGCCGCCACCCCGGGAGCCCAGGGCCGCGGCGGCGGCTGCTGCGGCCGCCGCGGCGGATTGACTACTGTGGCAACTGAGGCACGAGCAGGGCGCGGAGCCGCCGCTGGGGGGCGCCCCGGCCGCCGCGGCCGAGGAGGCCGCAGCCGCTGCAGCTGCTGCAGCCGCCGCGGCCGAGGCCGCGCTGTTGAGCCCCGCGGCGGCCGCTGGCGTCTGGTAGAGGCCCGGGTGGCGGAAGCTGCACAGCAGCTCCGGCCTCGAGTAGGGGTGCGAGAGGGCACGGAAGGTGTCCAGCGGGCGGATGGAAGTTGCGAAGGGCGACGAGGCCGCGGCCGCTGCGCCGGAGGCCGCAGCCGCGGCGGCCGCAGCCGTGACACCCACGTGCGGGTAGTAGTGCAGCGGCACGTGCGAGTGGAAGGGGTAGGGCAGGCTTCCGGTGGCGGCCGCGTGCGTCATCATGTAGGTGTAGAAGCTGGGGTCGGCCGGGTGCGGCCACGACATAGCCAGGCGCTGCCGCTTGTCCTTCATGCGCCGGTTCTGGAACCACACCTGAGGGGAGAGCCGCACGGCGGCCCGAGTTAAGCAGTGCCCTGAGGCCTCAGCCCCCGCCCTGGACCTCTCCACCCTTCCCGGACCTCCGAATGGCCTGACCTGCTACTCCCCTCCGACTGGGCCCAGCTTGGAGGCCCCTCTGCTCTCCCACTGAGGGCGACCGTGGGAAGAGCCGTGGGCACACCTTCCTCAGCGAAAACAGTCTTCCGCCCTCGGCTCCTGCGCCCTTGCTTTTTGCTGCGTTTAAGGTGCCAACGCAACCTTTCCTCTCCTTCCCGCCACCCACTAGTGCCGAGCCTTGCTGAGCACTCCTCTCTCAATCCCAGGATTTGCACGGGATTCTAGGCCACCTTTGAAGAAGGGGCTACGCGGCAGCTTTTCTAAAAGGTCGCCGCTCGAGGTCTTGAGTCCTCTGAGCTGCAAGGACCTGCCCCAAGGGCACACGTCCGATTTTGATATAGAAGAGGATTGTTGGAATCGTTTGCCTCAAATGAGTGGCGGGAGCAACATCCTCTTAAACTGGGGAGGGGACTTTTCTACCCCTCCCAACACGGTCTAATGAAGACATCCATCATTCGTCACAACTCTAAATTAAAGAAAGCCCGATCAAACCAAAGGGAGACTTCCACATCCTCCCTTATCCCTGGCAGTTTACTCTTTTCTTTTGCTAGAGTGTGGGATCCTCCGTGAAGTGTTCGCCAAGTCGCCCAACCTCCCAGCTGTCTCTCCCGGATTAATAAAATTAATCACCTAGAGACACAGAAGTAAGGACAATTTCGTTGTATCCTTCCCCCGCCCCCGAGGTTTGCTTTTTTTTTCCTGCTGCCCAAGCGAAAAATGTTTAGGAAACTACTTTCTCAACCCAATCGATTTTCAAAATACCGTATTCTTTTCTCCGTGTTGTAACGATTTATGTGGAAAATAAATCTCCAAAATCAAGAGCAGATGAAAAGTTTCACCTAGGGTTCATGCCAGAGGAACAAAGACCAGCCGGCTTTGCCACCGAGGGGGCAAATGGAGCCGTGGACATGGCCGAGGGGCACCTGGGCAGGCTCTGGGCAGAATGAGCAGAGGCCAGCGTTTCCGGCCTCGGCTCCGCCATTCCCGGGCCTTCCCAGGTCAGGCCGGGCCGGCCAACCCTCCGGATTCGGCAGCTGAGAAATAAATAGGCCAATTCCTTTGGTGACTCTACCCCGCGGGTTTTCAGGCCCACAGCTAAATGTGCCCACCCAGGGAGGAGAAAGGAGAAACAAAACAACCCAGACACCCACGGGGAGGCTAGAAAAGGCGCGTGCTGGAATCAATACCTTGATGGTGGTTTCAGGCAGGTTGAGCGCAGCGGCCAGCTCACACCGGCGGGGCCGCGACACGTAGTTCTCCCTGTAGAACTCCTTCTCCAGGCGCGCGATCTGTTCGCGGGTGAACGCCGTGCGGTAGCGCCGCACCTGATCCGCGCCCGAGCCGGAGCCGCCCAGCGCCGCGCCCCCGCCGCCGCCGCTGCCGCCACCTCCATGCAGGCTGCCAAGGCCAGAGCCCGACGCAGACGTCGTGGTGCCCGCGGCAGAGCCGCTCTCCGCGTACCCTGGCAAACAAACGGCCGACAGTGCGAGAGTCACTGTCGGGCCGAGATCCCCGCGCTGGGGCTGAGCGCGGATGGGGGAAGCCGGGAGAGGAAGGCGCGAGGCTGCCTGAATTGATAGGGTCTGTCACGCTTACAGATTGCTGCCTTTAGTGGAATCAATAAAGTTTGGGGAGCCCTTCATAACCAAATAATAAGAACTCAATTAGGAAGTTTTGTTTTTTTTTTCTTAATTTGAAATTTTCAACTCAGGAGGAAAATTGGCCAGGGGAAAATGCCTACATCTAGGCGCAGTTTGGTAAGCTCTGGGTTTCCCGTGGTCTGGAGACAGCAGGGCAGCTTTCTGTAGGGCTTCCAACCTTTCTTTGATAGTCTTTTGGGTTTGGTTAAAAATATTTTTAAGATGAGAAAGACAGCAGCAGCTCAAACCGGAACCATTAGGGGGTGGACTCTACTTTTCAACTCTTTTCTCCCGCTGACCCAAGCGGGTCTCCCAGAGGCTCCAGGCGACGCTCCCTCCGACTTACTCAGGATGCCCCCTCCACTCCACTCGGCCTTGGGGAACCAGGAGTAACGGAGTTCAGAGCGGCTACCAGGGCCCCCTTCCCGTAGCGCGACTCAGCGGCTGGCTAGGGGTCGGTCAGCTCGCACAGGCTTTTAGACCAACCCGCAGAGGCATTTTCTAGGACTCGGGCGACAGCGGGCGGGCGGGCGGGCCTGGCACCCCCCCAGGCCTGTGCCTCGCTGGGAGGCTCAAGGAGCAAAGCAGGAGTGCAGGGTCCCCAGCATGCGTCCCGCCCCCGCCCGAGCCCGCTGGGTGCAGCTTGCTTGCAGAGGGTCGGTTAGGGGCAAAGGCAGTAGCAAGGGCCAGCAGGAGCCGCGGAGGAACGGGGAGGATGGGACCAGAGAGCGCGGCAAGGGCGGCGCGGTTACCTTTGCCATTGTTTTCCTTGAGCGGCGCGGCTGCAAGGCCGCCAGGGGAGCGCAGCGCGGAGCAGCCCACCTCCACGTCGCTGCTCATGTCAGCCTCGGCGGCCGCCTCTGAATAATGACCCGGCTTTTTACGGCCTTCGGCGGCGGAGGCAATTTCGGAGGAGACGGTGCTTTCGCTGCCCGGGTGCTGCAGGTTGAACAAAGTGTCTATTTCGAATTTGCCCTTGGCAGGGAGGTCTCCCAGAGCTCCGTGCAGGGGGGCGGACGGCAGGCGCGGGCTGAGGCGAGCCGGGTGCTGCGAATTTTCCAGGGCCTCGAGCACAGCATTGCCAGCCGAATCGGACAAATTGGAGAACCGCTTGCCGGCCGTGGGGCTGTGCAGCCCTCTCTCCATCAGAATCATCTCTTTTCTTATTCTTTCCATCATCTCAGCTTTCTAAAAAATGTCACAGTGGCCCGCTGTCCCGTCCTAATGATGGGCTGCGCCTAGGGCTAATTCTCATTCAGCCCCAGCGAACGCCTCTAAATATTATTATCTCTTTTGGAGGGAGGCGGAAAAATTGTGGGATGCCAGAGCGAGGGAATGACTGGTCAAAATGACCCATACATCCTTCCGAGCCCGAGATGTCATTCATCAAAAAGTAGCGCTCGCTCGTCATTAAGGTACGAATGACGCCGTTCGAATAATCATTTATTGTAACAGGTTTATAAGCAAATAAATACACGCTCCTGTCAGTGGGTAATGAAGGCGGCTTCGGAGCAGACAAATAGATCCAGGTAGGAGGCGAGAAGAGACAAGAAGTGAGGAGGAAGGCTCCGGTCCTTTGCCCGCTCAGAGCCGGTTCTGTTCGCCCGGGGGTTTGGCCTCGGGGGTGAAATTGACAGTCTGATTAATAGAGCGCGCCGCGGCACATTTCCCCCTTCATTTAGGGGCATCATTACGCTCTCAGTTTGCTGGGTTGCCCCTTAGGTCCTAATCATGCAGCGCCTTCCTCATTTTTCCTCGGACATAGATACGTGTTAAATAATAGATAATGCTTTGATTTTCCAGAGTAGATCGTCGGGAAGGGGTTTTTTTTTTTTTTTTAAACATTTACAAGCGGGAGGGGATAAGGGAGGGGACAAGAGGGAGGATGTAGGAAGAGTTGCGTAAGGAGACCTTGCGCTCCTGTCTGGATTACTTATCTTTTGAATTTCAGAACCAAATATGTATTTTATTTAACAAATAGGGCGCCGAGGTTTCTCTCTCCCCCACTTCTTCGCCTCAGCCTGGCTGCTCTCCTCCCACCCCAGCCGAGAGAGAGAGAGAGAGAGAGAGAGAGAGAGAGAGAAAGGGAAAGGAAATATCGTAGTTTTGAAAGCACTTTAGTGCTACGTGGCTGGGGAGGTGCGTTGGGCCCGCGCCTCCAAACGGAAATCATTAGGTCCTCTCTGATTTTTTAACACCGTTTGCAGAGTGAGTTCTAAACTTGAAGTCCTGGGTTTTTTACTTTTATAACCCTGCTGATGGATAGGCTTCTCGCCTACGCATTTTCCCTGGGGGAAATGAACTCGGCTGGACGATTTCATAGTAGAATTCGACAGCTAACTTTAAACACAGTCGCGATTTACAACGCCAAATGGGCTGTCCCAGATCCACTTTTTACGTTGCCAGCTTTCCCCCTCCCTCCTCAAATCGAATTATTTGTGGCAAAGTTGCCTAATTTCTAGGTCAAAGAAGGAAAGAAGGGACTTAGCCTCCTTCCCCTTCCACCCGCTGCCCTTCCTTCTCCACTCTGCTCTTCTTTCTTCTCTCCTTCCTCTCTTCCCCCAACCCAACCTCTTACCTGTGGCCGTGAGTATGTCCGGTACTAAGTCTGGGCGCGGGGAGTCGCGAACCAGCCTTGCTGCTGCTTCTTGCGGCCTGAGCTTGGCGGCTGAGCCTCTTGGAGATAACTTTGATGGTCATAATGACGCCGGTGGCAACCATTTTAACGAAGATCAATCTTCACTCAAGGCCGTTGCACAGCTCCTCCCGCGCTTGCGCCCCACCCTGTCCCGACCCCCAGTGCACCGTGTGGGTCCGCCGGCCAGCAGCAAAAGAAGAGAGATCCGCGGCCACAGGCGGGGACACCGTAAGATAGGGACGGGACACAGAGGTCGGCCTGCGAACTTCCGAAGCGGCCGAGAGACCCTGGCAATCTGGGCGCTGGGCGCGGGTCCTGCATCCTCCTCTCAGCGCCAACTCAGACCCCAACCCAGGCCCCCCTTCCTCCCTGCCGCCACACCCAGCACGTTGGGGTGTGTTAGGGGCAAACCCAGAATCTCTTTGCCCATCTCTCCGTTGGCGCTTTCCTTTTAACCTTGAACCCGTTGGGGGCGCGTCAGGAATGTAAGGAGAGACGAGGTGTTAAGTATATTTATATACATTTATACACATAGTCAATGCCAAAAGTTTCTCTCCTGTTCCCCTCAGCGCCAACTTATTTCAACAACGTGAGCTTTGCTTAGAAAATCAATTCCACCTCTTTAGCTAATAAACGGAATTCTCCCCCAAGGTGAGAAATGCAAAGCTGGATAGGCACGCGGTAGCTGCAGAGGCGAGAGTGGGGACGCGGAGGAGGTGCCGGGAACCCAGAAGAGGACCTGCCTCGGCGTCTGCCTCCCACCCTGTCCCAGAGGCCACTCGACTCCCAGCACTATGAGCCCTCCCCGAGGCGGCTTTCTGGCCATTAACGCGGTCAAAGATCAGCCTTGCGGGTGCCCCGCACCTCTCCCTCCTAGCTCCACAGTCTAGGCCCCCAGCTCTACCACCCCTGGTAGGGTCGCCTGGCAAAGAGAAGTCGCTGTCCCAGGAACCTGGGAAGGGTACTCCCCCCGCCCAACCCCACTTGCTTAGGGAACTGAATGGGACACTTCGGTCCAGGCTCAGGTCCGTGGGTGGCCAAGGCCCTGGCGGGGGGTGAGATCCGCCGAGGCGCGACCCAGGCGGAAGTCGCAGATGCCTTTATTGCTGTCGTTTGGCGCCCCCGTCTGTTTTATTCGCGGTTTCGGCAGCTGTGAGCTACTTTGAATCGCAGAAGCCGCCGCTGGGGGCTGGGGTGCAGACGGCAGCCCCTTCCTCCTTCACTCAACGCTTCTTCCCTTCCTCTGGGACCTCACGCCTCTGGTCCCAAAGCCTGCGCCAAACAGAACCTCAGTCTGTTGGAAAGGTAAAACACCATTTCTAGGCGACATCTTCATTCATTAGTGGTTTTGAAAACTATTTTGCACCTTTTAAGTAACACTAATATTTCGTATTCTAGCAAGTTTATTATAAAAGGTACATTGGAGATCATGTCAAGAAAACTACTCACAGTAAAAGACACCTATAATTTTTCACTAAACTGCGTTTAACAGACAATGTTTCACGGGAGACAGTGAACATCCCATTACAATATTTAATGTCCCTTAATTTATTTTAGATTCCACACCTACTAGTATAGTAATATTGGTCAACTTTTATGTAACTTTTACTCTAAAATTACAAGTGCTTTTTGCATATATCATCGCCTCTAAAGCTCGAAGCAATTCTAGAGATGGATTCTGTTATCCCTTTTACAGAGATGGACTCCTTCCACAAAGAGGGGTTGAAGGACTTGCTGATTTAAACTTATCTCTGAAAATATCCAAGTTATAAGGTATTTAAAAGCTTTGGGGTAGCATTTTTGGTTGATTTTTTTTCATTTTGCATATGTCTTCTTTGAATACAGGCCTATCTCAAAAACATCAAGCCCATATAGGGGCTAGTGAGAAGATTAACAAACAGTTCTGTTGATGTTTATTAATGAAATACCCAAACCTTGCACCTCTCCCAGATTGTGGAGGCTGAAACTGGGAACGGGCCTGTCAGATGCTCCCAATTTTTAGCGTAGCCTCCAGGCCATATCGGGACCTCCTACCCACTACCAAAGCACAGGACTCACTCCTACCCATTACTCAAAGTAGGGGGGGCATGGGCTGCCCCCGTGGCTTGGCAAGAATTTTTAAGGTGCATTGGGGGTGAGGGTGTAGGAAGGACTTTCTCCAAATGGACTGAAAAGCACTTTCTGGTCGAAAGGAAGAATTACATGAAAGAGGTCTAATTTATTTTTATTTTTATTTATTTATTGGTTAGGCCTCCAGACTAAATATTTGTTTCTTGAGCAGCAGAGGGTCCTCCGAGGTGAAGTGGTAAACACTTTTGGCTTTCGACTGAAGGTAATAAAAATGTGTCCAGGCTGCCCAAGGGGAGGGTCTCGGGTAAAGCCAGAGTTGTAACGGAGCCCCGCGTCCGCCTGGGCCTGGCTGCCGTCTTCCGCGAGGTAGGCTCCCGGCCGAGCGGGCCCAAAACCAACACGGACCCTCACCCGAAGGCAAGCTCGCTCGAGGACTGGGGCTGCCTGGGTGTAGTGGGACAGCAGAACCGCTAAAAGCTGGGCTTCGAATCCCTGGTGCATTTTCTTTAGGGTAAATGCAGTCCCCACGGCTTACGACTTGGAGGTTTCGGTTTATAAGGGAAGGAGCCGCCGCTCTGGCGACTCAGGCCTGACTCCCTCCGGGCATCTTTTTGCAGCCATCCCTAGGTTGGCGGTCCTCGCGCTGTCTCTTAGTCCCTCTGGCTGCTTCTAGTTCTCCTCCTTCCCGCTACAATTGCGCGCCCTAGGAGGGATGGCCTTGGGTGTGTGTGGGGGGGGTACTTTCTCCCTGGACTCCAGGGCTACCCAGACCCACTGCCTGCCTGAAGCTTGTGCGCCCTCAGACGCGACAGGAAAACTTGCAGGGACATCTAGTGCCAGGCCTGAGGAACTGCGCGCTGCCCAGCTGGGAAACTGAGCCTGACCACTTGCCTCACCACCTCACTCCCTTCGCGCCCCCCCGCCCCCACCCCCGCCCACCTTCGTGGTTAGGCATTTCCCTAACCTTCATCCTTTCTCCCTCCCTGCTGGTGTCCACATGTGGATTTTTCATAGAAACCAAGGGCTCTGCGGAATGGAGAGAGACAGAGAGAGGGAGAGAGAGAAGGTGGGGAGAACGAGGAACATTTACTTTCTTTCATTTCCAAAGGCCAACAGAGTGAGCACTTACTGGACTTCAGTTAACAATGACATTGCTAGAGAAGTGTATACCGAGGACAACCCCACACCTTGAGACACCAGACAAAACAGCAGAAAATTGTTTGCAGTCCCAGCTTTTGTTTATTGGGGGGGGGGAGCAACAAGTTACTAATGTCCTCCAGCTCTGGGCCCACCCTCCAGCATCCCTTCGAAGTGAGATTAGTGTTTCTCTAAGAGGGAAGACCCTTGCTGTGTTTAATTCCTGCCAGGACTGGAGTTCTTTCCATCCCAAACAAGTGCCCGCTCCTCTGTGGGAGGCAAACCTAGGTTCGCCAAATAGCACTTTGGGTTTAGAGAGAGTTTTGTTGTTGTTGCAAACAATTTACATTTAATAAAGCCTAATTGTGTTGTCAAATCCAAATGGAATACATCTCAGACATAGAAAGTGCCCAAACTGAGGATTCCACTGTCTGGCTTTTGCTAAATAGCCCTTTCTTTACCCTAGGTTTGTTGTTTTTAGGGTTTTTTTTTTTTCAATATATATTTCCAACCTGAATG